CCTAAAAAACACAGCTACATTATTTTTCGTAATTGTGACATTATTCAGGTAATACAATTTAACAGTTAAGATAAGAAGTAATTATATTGTAGAGCTACAATTATATACTTCACTGACCAACAATTTTTATTTATTTGCATTATTTACATTTAAAATAAAACACTAGAACCTCTTCAGTGTTGATAAAAAAATGTGAATAATTTGCTTTGTAAATATAGTTTAATTATTTGGAGGTTTGACTTCTTAATCACTAATCAAAGATAAAATATACTGTATATAAATTATTTGTATATTTTAAAAACGCACATTAGAATTACTCACTTTGTTATTATTACCAACCTTCTGAGGTCCAGAATCGTGACAGAAAAACAAAGATTAAGGAGTCTGTTATAAGGATATGTTAGATAAATGGTTACAGAGAGGATTTGAAGAAATAAAATATTTTCTTAATCATTCTAAATGTTGACCATTACAACTTCATATGATTAATGTTGGCAAAATAACTCAGACCAGTTGTAAAACGTAGCCATAAAATAACACGTGCTAACCCTTTGAAATGCTTTGTGTGGATTTTGAACTACAGAATCTTTACTGAGCTGTGCCGGAGCTGCCATGTGGTGCAGCTGGATGCTGCGAGCATTCAGCGTGACTGGAAGCCAGATTAGACAATCATTATAATTTTGATAGTTGCATTCAGTAGAGAGCAGTGGGAAACATCCAGTCTAGCATTGTCAAAGGTACTTCCTGAGAACTTTTGAACTCCTTTATCTTTTACAGCGCACAGAAAACATGACATAGTGGTTATTTAAGTGAATGTGGGTGGATATTTTTATGTGTGCGAGTTTAGGAGCGGGTGCAGGCCATGGAGCTGTGGCAGACGGCAGCTCAGGAATTGGACCGCCTACAGCAGGTCTACCAGAAGACCATCTCTGACAGGCAGCTCCACGATGCTCAGAGACAGCAGCTCAAGGTTCACCATTACTACACTAACTTGTGGTTTCAGCATATTATACTCTGTATAAAACATCAAGATTCACTTAAAAGTTTGGACAAACTTTCCTTTTTCCTTTGAATGTGTAGGTCTGTTCAGACGTCTGACTGGTGCATACATTATTATAATGGAATCGTATATACAGAGACAGATACATTTGTTGGTATCCTTCTACACATACACACAAAATAAACACACACAACTGATGTGATAAACAAAAAAGCTCCACTTTTATTTTATTTTCTTATGAGTTCCAGAAACCTCTCCCAAAGATATTGGGGTAACATACATTTTGATCAATTACAATTTGACTCTTTTTGTGTTTATTTTATTATGACACCCACACGCGACATGGGGGTCATATTGTTTTCATACTGTTTATTTATTTATTTATTTATTTATTTTTCTATGATTTTTAGTCGACCGTATCACGCCAGAAATGGTTGCACCGATCAACAGGAAATTTGGCAGGAAAGTAGATGTGTCCGACCTACACTGCTCCAGCCAGTTGTTTTACGATAGACCCCATATTTAAAGGGGGGTCTCCATCGAAAAAGGGGGTGTCTGGACATACAAAAATGCATATAAATCAAAAACTATTCAACATAGGAACTTCGGGTTTTTATTTATTTTTTTGTTTGTTTGTTTTTTGTTTTT